CCCAGGATTGCCTAACTGATAAATTTCTGTTTAAATGGAAAATAAAACCTGCATATATTCTCTGAATTCTTACCAGTTGGTAATGCAGGGAAGTCCTGTGAGGTGTGGTCTTGTTTCAGTGGGAAAATAGACTGAGCTATGTCGTTTAAAATGTCTACATTTGAATAGCTAAAAATTGTATTTCAAAACATGCTATATTTTAAAATCTAGATCTCAAGCATGAAATGGAAAGTTCTGATGAATTACAGGTTACTCTCGGATAACATGAAAGTGGATCAAAATTAACTTTGAAAACAGTCAAGTAAATTTTGACTTTCATCTGGAGTTTACATGGCAGTTCTCATCTGCATGTAAATGCAAAATTCACTACACTTATTATGAAAGAGTTTATAGAAAGTTTCAAATGGATTTTAATGGCAAATTGGTCCAAAAGAAAAATTATAGAAACATCAGTGGCACCTCCAATATCCTATGCGTTTAGAGAAAAGAAGAGTTAATATTCTGCTCATACCACTCAAAAGCTGGTGCCAGTCCTCCACATGTTAATGATTTAAGAGAAGTTCGGTGGAACTTTGGCCAACTGTGCCATCACATGCTTTCTAATTGCAAGTGTGGTTTACTGTAATAGCCCAACAATTACCAAAACCACAGGTGGATTCATTCAGTCAGGAAAAAAGTGTGTGTGTGTGCGTGCCCATGTTTGTGCATGTGCATGTGTGCTGTGACCAATGGCACTGAGCCAGGCCCTTTCCACAGCTGAGATGAAGAAAAAACATAAATGCACAATAAAGATAGACAATGGCAGCTGATTTCCTATGTGGCCATGAATTTAACATTAAGTCTTTCATTTTTCACTCGATTACCTCACTCCCTCTCCCCACCTGCCATTTTCTGTCATCTAGGGAATTATTTAATTTTTGGTTTTGTTTGTTTATTTTTGTTTTCAGGAGAAAAATAGACTGTGCTTCATTGGTTCAGGTAGAAAGCAGAATTTTTATGGAATGTCAGAGAGCTGGATACGTGGGTTGGGAGGTAAAGATCCCACTTCGTCGTAAGAAAATGAGAACTGGATGGGATGTCTGTAGCCACAGAGATGCATTTGAGATAGAAACTAGCTCCTGTGTTTATCATAGTCAGCCCTTTTGTCTTTAACAACACTTAAATAATTCAAAATTAAGCCCGTCCATGAGAATTTATCATAAAGTCTCCATGAAGAAATAAACATATACTCAGTTCCTTCCTGGGCTTGCCCCGTAGCTCAAGGAAGGCAGTTGGACAGGAGTAGAAGGGAGGTAACAAAGGTTTTACTTTACTCTGGCTTAGCTTCTAAAGCAGTTTATCTTCCTCGCTCCGCCCCTCCCTGCCCCCAGACTGTGCTTCATTGGTTCAGGTAGAAAGCAGAATTTTTATGGAATGTCAGAGAGCTGGATACGTGGGTTGGGAGGTAAAGATCCCACTTCGTCGTAAGAAAATGAGAACTGGATGGGATGTCTGTAGCCACAGAGATGCATTTGAGATAGAAACTAGCTCCTGTGTTTATCATAGTCAGCCCTTTTGTCTTTAACAACACTTAAATAATTCAAAATTAAGCCCGTCCATGAGAATTTATCATAAAGTCTCCATGAAGAAATAAACATATACTCAGTTCCTTCCTGGGCTTGCCCCGTAGCTCAAGGAAGGCAGTTGGACAGGAGTAGAAGGGAGGTAACAAAGGTTTTACTTTACTCTGGCTTAGCTTCTAAAGCAGTTTATCTTCCCCGCCCCGCCCCCCCCTGCCCCCCCCCCCCCATCTCTCTCTATTTGTTGCACTAGGGTTAGGAACCACTTACAGAAGAGTCAATCAGTGCAGGACCTGCATCTCCAATTTACCCTAGCAATGCATAGCCTCTGGGTATCTCCACCCAGACAGCACCTGAAATCAGAGTAGACTTCACTCATGGGAGGAATGGGATTTATTCGTACTTGTTTGGAAGGAGACCTCTTAAGGATTTAGGAGTTGGCATCCATTGTTTGTCTTTTTTAATTCAGTTTGAGATTTTCCTGGTTCTTGGTATGTCAAATGATTTTCAATTGAAATGTGGCCATTTTTGTATTATGAGAATCTAGATTTTATTGAAACATTCTGTTTTAAATTGGCTTTGTCTGACAGCTCTCCAGCCAGGAAAGCAGAAGGTAGTGCCTTGTCACTCACATATGGAGGTAAAAATCCAGCTTCCCCACTTGTCCTTTGTTGATACACTGTGTGTGTGTATGTATGGGGGGGGGTGTCCTTGTTACTGTTGGGCAGGGTGGGCTTTCTAATCCCCACATGGTCTCCACTGACACCACACTAGTGGGTGGCCTTGTTCCTGGTGGACAGTGGTTTGACACCACCCCGGTATTGTGGGGAGGGGAGAGATACCTGGTTGTTGCTGGGTAAGGGTGGAAGTCCAGGACCCCCACATGGCCTCTGCTGGCACTGGGGGATGCTTCATTACCAGCTGGCAGGCATAGGGTCCTGGCATCCTACTTGGTTTCTCTGACACCACTCTGGCAGGAATATTAGGGCTTCTTGTTAGAGCCTTGTGAGGACGGAAATCTAATATCTTCACTCAATCTTTGCTGGCATGGATGGTCACAGTTTCTTGTGGTATTTGGCTGGAGTAGAGCAGTTATTGTCTAAAAGTTTTTCTCTCTCTAAGCTGCCCCTTTCCTGGTCCTGTGGCTAGAGAGAGGAGACTTTTGTTGAGACATTTTTGGTTTGTGTCCGTTGGAATTTTGGGTTGCTGACTTTTCTACTTGTTGACGTTTCTGGGTTTCTGACTTCTTCAGCTACAAGTCTCGGGTATGTGAGGCAAAAAGAAAACCCAGGGATTTCACTACCAATGTTGCTTCTTGGGTTTTGAGGTCCCAGGCTGGTCTGCCTTCTCTCCACCTTAACAGAGTCTTCTTATGTTTGTTTTATATATGACATCATTTTTTTTTCATTGTATTTAGGAAGAGGAATAGGATATGCATATATTGAAACAACACACTGTACCCCACAAATATGTACAATTTAAAATAAATTAAAATTCTAATTAGGATTAGGAAAAGGATTTTCCTTAAAGATTTCCCTAAAGAGGCTTAGGAAAAAGTAAGCCTACTCCATCTTCCTAGAAGCAGAAGTCCTTGCTACTCAATTTTTGGTTTTATTTGTTTTATTTTCTGCAATATTTTATTATGAAAGTTTTCAAAAATGCAGAGAAGATAAAAGAATTGTACCCCATACATATCCACCACCTGGATTCAGCACTTAACATTTTGCTATATTTTACTTTATTGCATATTCCATCTATCCACTTATTTATAATTCTTGATGGACATCAGTATACCTCGCCCCTAAAACTTCAGCATGTATATTATTAATTGGACTTCACTATCTATTTATGGTTTTTCTAAGATAAATTTTATATGAAGTAAAATACACAAAATCTTAAATGTTATTTGATGAGCTTTGTATCATCTAGCCATTGTCAAGTTCATTTGCATCATCCCCAGAAGTTTCCTCAAGTCCCTTCTGAATTAATTCCTACCTCCCTCTCACTCCAAGAAGAAGCTCCTGTTCTGATTTTCACTCTTTCTCTTCCCCTTTCTCCCTCCCTTCTTTCCTTCCTTCCTCCCTTTTGCTATAAGTTCATTTTGTCCATTTTAGAACTTCATATAAATGGAACCAGACAGTATGCACTCTTTTCTGTGTGGCTTTTCCAGCACGATGTTTTTTTTTTTTTTTTTTTTTTTTTTTTTTTTTTCCTTTTTTTTGTCTTTTTTACTGACCGGTAACGGGATCGCAACCCTCGGTGTTGTGCCCGCACTGCGCTCAGCCAGTGAGCGGGAACTGGTCTCCACATGGGATCCGAACCCTCGGCGGGAGCGCCACCACGCTTCCCAAGCGGCGCACTAGCGCAGTGCGCCACCGGGCCGGCCCCAGCACGATGTTTTTGAGATGCATTCATGTTGTTGTATGTATCAATGTTTTGTTTTGTTTTTTAATTGCTGAGTGCTGTTTCATTGAGTGAATAATACCATAGTTTATCCATTCTGGCTTCTTCCAGTTCTTTGCCATTAACACTTGATTGTTAGGGTAATATAAATCATTGCTGGCTCCCTTCTGCTTAGAACGTAGTACAAGGCAACTTAAGATTTTGTGCCTTGGGCCGGCCCAGTGGCGCACTGGAGAGTGAGCCACTTGGGAGTGCGGCGGCGCTCCCGCCGAGGGTTCGGATCCCATGTGGAGACCAGTTCCCGCTCACTGGCTGAGCGCAGTGCGGGCACAACACCGAGGGTTGCGATCCCGTTACCGGTCAGTAAAAAAGACAAAAAAAAGGAAAAAAAAAAAAAGATTTTGTGCCTTTCTTCTGATTAATAAAATGATAAAGATATGTTTTATCCCACACAATATCTACATTTTCCACATATTTCTTGTTAGTGAGAGTTATCAGTTTATTTAAAGCTAAAAAGTTTTTTGTAATAGAAGCAAAAGATAGTTTTAGCATTGTAAAGATAGAATTTAGCTTCCTGGCACCAAATTTTATTTTGTGAAGGAGAAACCATGGTTTTAACTACACAATAACTGTAATGTTCATTACTGAGAATGCCAAACTAGCCTCTGGAGGAATGGTCTGTTTCAGGAATATTTAGAATACTTTATTCCTGCACAAAATATTGATGAAGTTGTTGCAGATGGATGCAGCTGTGTTTTGCAGACAGTTGTTTGTCTGGCCCCACCTGTTATGTAAGTCTTGGGATTCTTTTCTATTTTCCCAGAAAGGTTACCTAAGGGGGCTATAAATTCTGATTGATCGATTAACTGATTGATGTCTGGGGAGTCCTACCAGCTGTGAAATGGGACAAAATAAACAACGTGGGATTCCATTTAGAGTGGGCATGCTTACTGTTCATAGTCCAGGAAGAAAAGATGATGTTGTTTCAAATTTTTATTATAGCATTTCTCTGACTTTATTTTTCTTTATACAGTTGACGGACTGGACAAAGCTTCTATAGCAAACTCAGATGGCCCCCCAGCAGGTTCCCAAACACCTCCCTTCAAGAGAAAGGGGAAACTCTCCACCATCGGGAAAATCTTTAAGCCTTGGAAATGGAGGAAAAAGAAGACCAGTGACAAATTTAGAGAAACCTCAGCAGGTATGAGCCTCATAACTCTGTTGGAAGATAGGATAAATTGTTAAATTTTTCAAAAGGTGGAAAATTATGTTTTTCAAGGTTTTTTTCCCCCCAGAAAAAAATCTGTATTTGAAAATAAATTATTTTACTTAAGGATGAAACAGCTTAGAGTTCTGATTTGCCTTTGTTTTTTACTAACTTTGGCTTTCTGATATATCCCAATTTTAAAGTATATATTTGTGAATTCATATAAAAAACTGATTTGTGGGGGGGTGAAACAGTGGAAAATTAGAAGTGGAAATGTTATTCATCAGCATCGTGGTGGCAAGTATCCATTTTTACATATATGCACGGTTACGTGTTTATCTACATAGTTCTAGAAGCACAATCTTATTTGTTAATTAAAACTTTTAAAAAATGTCTTTTCTGGGCCGGCCCCGTGGCACACTGGATAGTGCGCTGCTTGGGAAGTGCGGCGGCGCTCCCACCTGAGGGTTCGGATCCCACATACAGACCGGTTCCCAATAATTTCTTTTTAATTTTAATTTATCAATAAACAGTGTGGTTGATTTTTCTGTCCCTTTATCAATTCCT